AAATGCGCTGAGAAGTGTGTGCTGTGTAGCACCCGGTAAGAAAACGAAATCTGTCTTGCAGATTGAAATCGATATCGATTTTCGCGTCGGGAATAATTGGGAATAATCATTCGATGATTTTGCTGAGCGCCACGGCCTCAGCTCAACTGTCAAACAGCGTTTTGTCACCGAGTGCCACATACCCGAAAGGCTTGAAATTGTGATCGTGATTTGTGATTTTTTACGGTGCATTGTCTCGAAAGTTACGCATAGTGCAAGATAGCAAATTAAATAATTGTATGTTTCATCTCGATGGTCCATAGGTTTCATAATACCAAGCATAAGCAGCATTTTGTGGCATTATTCGGTGACTGCATTACGTCACAGAAAGATAGCTCAGTGACTGCAGCGTCGCACAGAAAGGTAACTCAGTGACTGCAGCGCAGAACAGCACGGTAGCTCAGTGACTGCAACGCGGAGCCGCACGGTAGCCTAGTGACTGCACGACGGAACAGGGGCCTAACACCGGTTCTTTCCCACCTAACCCTGTAGTTTTCTGGGCTGTGAAACCAGTCGCCGACCACACGTCTTCACATTCCGAACGCATCCCCAGCGGGCGGCACGAAATGGTCCCGCGCGTGCTGCGTTTACGAACGCACTAACGGTGCACCTGGAGACGCACCGCCCGAAACCCATAAATATACCATGAGCTAGCGTGGCGACAGTTATGGGTGAGCTCAGCTGGGATGCCTCGTTTGCGTAAATTCCGCCGTGTTTTGGTGGGCGGAAGGTAAGTTTGATGCATTGGTGAGGCAAGAGCGCTGTGCTTCAAGATCAGTGACCCAGGAAATTCCTATCGGGAGAAGCTGCTGTTGAGCTCTGAGCGACTCATGCCATTCTCCTCTACGGTTTGCGAAATTGCAAACATGCTCATCTAATGGATCAATTTGGAGCCGATGTCTGCTTCAACAGCCCGATGATTGTCTTTCCCTCTGCAGCAAACATCAACAGTTCTACCTTTCCGTGCATGTTTCCTGGCCATGACTATCAACAATAGGCCGTGCACGGTGTATTATGGCGTCAAACTGCATCTAAGATCCATATCGCCCCTATATAGAGACGGCTTCATCTCAATCGGCCCACCACCCACTGGGTCGACCTCCGGGGTCGAAAATCAATCAGCTGACTGTGCGCAGTCAGCTGACTACCGGGGCCAGGGGCCGTTCAGCGCCCCCATTTTGGGACAGGAACGCAGCGCGCCGCGACCGAAATAATACCCGACTCTGTGTCTGGCTAATCGTCATGTGGCCGTCATTCCGCGTCACTGGACGGGGGAGACGATTGGCGGTGCCGAGCGCGGCGTGCCGACGGAGGGAGACGGAAGCTCTGGCGCCCAGCCGCGGCCCGCGGGGGTGCATTCAGCCCGAAATTACCGTGAACAGATCCAGGAGGTGTGTGAAAATCGCCGTGGCAGGGAGGGGGAGGGGAGGATGAGAATTGGCAGTTTGGAAGACAAATTTGGCCTCAACATGTTTATTCTTGGTAGGATTTCTAGCAAGACTAGTTAATAGCAAAAATATGCAGTGGATCTGATTTTGACCGAAGCAAAAACTAGAGATATCTTTTTAAAGTTTCTACCCGAAGTTATGTTTGCTAAACATCAAAACATTCCAGACACCTAAATAGGAATAAAAGCTGTCCCAAAGCTCCCGGGCCAGTGACCTCTCCGCATCAGATCACCCACTATGTAGCTCAGGACAGAAGCTGTCTCGCATCCGTCGTCCGTATAATTCGCCGTCCCTGTGTGACTTGCAGTCTCCTATATCTGAGCAGCGGGAGGCGGTGACCGCGGGGATTAGCCGAACTAAATGGCCGAGCCAGCTGACCATCCCGCCCGCATTGTGACGTCACTGGGGCAGAAATCCGGTGATGGCGGTGATAGGAGATAGTGTGATAATAATCGGTGATAATGGTCAGTGATAATGGCTGTATCATGGCGCCATGGCAAGTCAGCGCTCTGGTGGGAGTGGGAAACTTAGAGATACATCATATGGTGCTGGATCCTTGCAGGAGTGTGTGTCAATTGAAATATAAAGCGGCATTAAATGCCATAACAATAGAGCGGTGGAAATACGCGCCCGCGATATAATAAGTTACATCACTTACAATTAAAATGATATCGTGACACCTCGAAGATGGTATACTTAATCAAACCTATGGACCATCGATATGAGGCATATAATTATTTATTTTACTGTCTTTTACTATGCTTAATTTTGGAGACAATGCACTGAATAAGTCACAAATCACAATCGCAATTCCAAGCCTTCCGGGTATGCGGCACTGTACGAGATTCAGCCTTTGCTATCATATTCACAAACAACTAGGTTTATAGTGCATCTACGGCACGGAGTTTGCCTTGACCTTCAGTGACCTTGCTTGAGCAGGACAGTGTACTACGTTTGCAACGCTTCCAATTATACAATCTCTAATGCGATCTGGACCTGTTTTTCTCGTCTCGAGTAACCTGTTAATGAGCAAATGACAAGATACTAATTAGCTAAAAATTGCAAAGATCTGCAGTTAACAGGATAGCCGGGTGTCATTTAATACGTAAGTATCTCCAAAGGACTTAAAAGGTTTCCGGTTCCAAAGAACCCAAAGGATAGTGCACGTCTACGTTGGTTTTTGGCATGACTTTTGTGGTGTGTTTATTTTATTTATTTTACTTTCTAGCAAAATAAGACTAAAAGATAACATTTTAATTGCGCCTGCGTTGACCTTTGCACGCTAAAAACAAAATGCGCTTTAGTTTACAGTATGCATATGGAGCACGTATATGCGTTTTCAGAAGAGTGGGATCATTATTAATTTATTCTGGGCAGTGTCCTCAAGATACCATGATTGACAACCTAAAGGGAAATTTTGCCCTGAGCGGAAAGCTCGGTGGGAAGTTATATACTTATCGTAAGCTCGGTAAATTGTCTGCCAAGATGCTTTAACCCTCGCCGGCACAGGCAATTTTGAGTCCTTCGACGGCACAAGGGGGGGTTGGTACGACCCCCCCCCTCGCGTTTGGCCCCTGATCGAGCTAGAGCTTCGCGGAAAAAAACGAGCGTGTTGCCCGTCACGAGAGGAAGCCGATGATACCCAATTTTAAGGTCCTAGGTCATCGGGTGACCTTCCAGGTCAGGTCAATGACCCGAAAACCGGGAAAATCGGGACCTGTTAGAAAGTCGTAAAGTGTGGCTGCTATGTGGTTTTCCGGGGTGCTGATCACGAATATCGTGTTAGTTTTGATCAGAGATGATGTCTTTAAGCATTTAGACCAGGTCGGGTCAGGTCAGGTCAGGTCAACCGGTAGGGGTTGTGACGGGTATTCGTATTACGTGTCAACCGCCTCGGACAGCTTCGTAACATGTTACGAAGGCACCAAAACTACTTCGTAAATGTTCAAATGGTTGCTAAATTCGAATTCAGCTCCAAAAACTAGCCTAGAAACATGTAAAACTCGAAAAAGTGAACCGAGGTCACCCGAGGTCACCAAAGGTCAATGACCTGACCTGACCTTCAGGTGACCTTGACACCCACCCTAATGCATGGGAGCAGCATCAAATCACATGTTTGAACGTTTGAAACCACGAAAAGCTTGCAAACGCGCGGCTAATGCGAGCCGACATGCGCCGAACCGCGATTTCGGCCAAACATGGTCACAGAAAAGAGGTCACAGGTCAAGGGTCATTGGGGTCACGGTCATGAAATTTTCAGGGTAGGTGTAAAATTGATCAATGCGAGGGTACTGAAAGTTTCGTCGCGATCGGCCGCTTTTTACGCGAGTTATTCGCGAAAAACCTTAGGGGGGGTTGCATCAACCCCCCCCCCCCCTGTGCCGGCGAGGGAAGGACTTCATTTAATGTTGTATTCAAAGGAAACAAATCAGCTCTAACTAAGAGATTTGCGGTGTAACAAGCTCTTAACCCTTAAACCTTGTTTGCATTGCGCTGTAGTAGCATTGAAGCCGCATAAATACTATTGGCGTATGCATCAATGAGGCATTTTTTTCTTCCAGAAACGTAGGCGTGCATGTTCCCGGCATTTAAATCGTTGCTCGTTGGCAATCAGATGAACGAACGACAAACGACGCACAACATGTTTATCCGTGTGAAAATGTACGGGTGCTCCCGATTACTTAACTACAGTCGATAAAAAAGCTTCTCAGCAATAGCATATTTCGTCGTCACAAACAAGGTTCAGTTTCACCGTTTTCCGTGTATAAGATGTGCATAGATGCATGGTGAAATGACGACGGTAAATGTTTGACCATTCAAAGTATTTCAGAGCACGATACGTGTTTGACATTTTTTGCAACGTTTTTACAGAAGAAAGTATTTATTGCTGAAATGGCAAGTCTAACATTTGGGAATCAAATTGAATATGACTTCAAAATATATTCAGTGTTCCTTATGTTGATTGTCGTAAATACAGATACGAAATTACTTCCCCATCCTGTCGGGTTCTATAATTTAATGGATAGTTGGTGAACGAATGGGATGAGCTTTACCATAAACGCTAATTGGACGCAACGTTTGAAAAGTAATGCACCAATAATTGTTATGCGATGGAGATAATACGTTTTATCCTGTGCCATATGAAAAATATACCCTCTTAAAGTGACTGTTTTAGGTTTCGAAAGCGAGTTCCAAATTGTTTTCCATACCATGAACCCATACGTTCATCGGGCCCGAAAGCAGAAGGCCAAGGGCCGGGCGGGCTGGAGATTCCCATCCCTGTTTAAAAGCAACACGGCCAACTTAAATATTTCGAAGTGCTTTTCTTAATTGGGAAAATTAACCATATTGACGTTAACCATTATGGCATGAACATAAAAGTAATTATTAAATAGCTAGGTAATCTCTGTGGTCACCAAGAAGCAGAAGTATGTCACTAAGGAAGCGCACTGGTTCCCAGCTCACCACCATCGAGTCTCGATATGCAGCTCTCGGAGTGCCGCAGCTCCTCACCTGGTGTCGATAATGCCCGATCTCGTGTCACAGGAGCTCACCCGACCCGCGCGCGTCACTGCCAACCACCGACTGTGACCTGACCCGACCGGGACCTCTATATAAAACCAAACCGTCCCGCCGGCCACCGGCGCCCACTGCAGGCCTAGGCCGAAATTAGCAGTCGGACACAGGCCGAGTCGATGACCTGGCTCACTCACACCCTCCGTCGCTGTCGGCGGTGACGTCACAGAGGCCGGGGGTGACGTCATATGGCGGTGACCAATGGGAGACTGGGAGGGCCGGAGGAGGACGGTGGGCGGCTGGAGTGGGAGGGGCTGAGAATGGGCCAGTGTCGGTCGCGTCGACGGCGGCGGCGGCGGCTCAGAGCGGGCCGGGATGTGGCTCGGAGTCGGTCCCGTCGCTCACTCCAGGATCTGTGTGGAGCTCGGTAATGAAATCGCTTGGACTTGCGGTCCTATTGATGTGTAGCTGGAGAAGCTAGAATTGGAAGGGGTCATTTCAAAGTTGAAGACTGTATTTTCAGGAGCATTGCAACAGCTAGATGAAAAATACATCAACCATTTTCGACAACATTCGAACAGTGCCTAATAATGACTGGGTTCAGTCAGTTGATAATCTTTGTCCACAGCACTCATTTGGATTATATTGTGCGTGAGATAAGTGACGGTTATTCCACACGCAGTCGACAAAACCATGTGGAGTTTTACGCGCCGAGTGATGCGTGAGTCAGACGCACGACAAGAAGCCAGTCGTTTGGTCCTTTTTGTGGTCCAGAAAACACAAGGAATGACTCATGGATAATTGTTTAGCCCGCGTAAATGTTTTAGAGCCAGGTGCTTCAAAACAGTCGTAACTTTTTGTAGAAATTCCAACTTCCCTCTTTATTTACTGGCCGGTTGGCTTCAGAACCAAATGTGTTCTTCCCAGCACTAAAAATGTAGTTATTCAGATATGCTGCCTTAACTTATTCGTCACTTTTCTGAAAGATTAGTGTCCACCGAAATAATAACCTGCTCTATCGGGTGACCGCAGGGTCGGATGATTCATCTCGATAAACAGCAGCTCACTGTCCAGCCGATATCACGGGCAGTGCGCCGGAAACTAGCTCAGCCCGCGGGCTCCCCAGGGAATGCCTCTTCGGCCGCGCCCAGTGGGCAGGGCGATGAGCTGGCCTGCTGCCCGGGGGCAGTCGGGAGACTGCAGTGGCCCGGACGACACTAACAGAATAGGGGAAGTAGGGGACTGCTGTGTGACATACGACAATAACACTAGAATCGGGGAGACTGCGGTGTGGTGGCATACGACAATAACACGAGACTAAGGAGACTGCAGCATGACATGAGACAGTAACACTAGATCGGGGAGACTGCGGTATTGCATAGGACCATAACTCCAGATCGGGGAGACTGCAGTATGACATCTATATTACTATTTGAGGAGGGTGCGTCTGTCCGTTACCGAGGTCCCGACTTGGTGGTGCTTTGCGTGGACTACAGGTCAGACCGTTGCACCTAGCGCGGTGAAACTTGCACAACTTATAGATCAAGGATGCGCGACGTGCCTTTGAGGGGTCTCAGCTCGATCGGGTCGATAGGGAGCGCGTGGCGCGTGCTCAAAAAGTGCAAATTCGCGTCATAGACTTTACATGTATAAATCGGCGTGCGAAATCTGGCGAAAACGGCTAATTTTGGCCGACACGGGTCCAGTTCCCGTGCAATATCTTGGTGACCAGGGGTCCGACCGGCACGGGGAAAACAGCATCGTGTACAGAATTGAACGGGCTATTGAATGGTGTGCAATGCAGAGGATAGCACGCGCCACGTGCACCGGAGAGGGCACTTTTATTTGAAAAATTGCGGTTTTTGAGGGATTTTAGAATTAATTTTATTTTTAGCTGACCGTTAAATGGAGCGAGTTGAAACGACGGCTGTTGACAAGAGAAATGTACCGCCTCTCATGGGAAAATTGTGAATAGCTAATTGATCGACGACAAGGTGGTATGAATCGCTGGAGAAAATGGTTTTTGTCGATGATGTGCCGCTTTCTTAATTACACGGGTTTTGCTGCATAACCTGATATGTTTCGCAATTGAAACTGGTACCCTTTGAAAGAGCATTCAATTTTGTCCAAGACACACCCAACATTTTTGCATGACAAGCAACAATATTCTAAAAAATGCAAATGTTTCAAACCACTACATAGTCATTTTTACTGAAATTCATCGATGGTCCTCAAAAGATTTCACGCCAGTTTCCGAATCATTCTTAAGTAGAACGCATGATAATACGACACGGGCACCTCGATGCGATGTATCTTTTTTGTTTCATTACAAAATGCTTGGCCGTCAAAAAGCAATCGAACGAAATGGATGCCAACCAAATCGACACAGACCAACCCAATACCCACGGGTCAAAAATAACCCTTCTTCGCGTTGCGGAGCACGCGGGTAACCCTAGTACGACACTAACGCTAGATCAGGGAGATTGCAGTGTGGCATACGACAATAACACCATGTCAGGGAGACTGCAGGGTGGCATACGACACTAACACAAGATCAGTGAGACTGCAGTATGGCGTACGACAATAACACCATGTCATGGAGACTGCAGTATGGCGTATGGCACTAACACTAGATCGGGGAGACTGCAGTGTGGCATACGACAGTAGCATCACGGATCGGGAAGACTTCGATTAGGCTTAGCCGGCAGAAGTGCAATAGTTTGCCCCACCGCGATTCGCACCTACACTTATCCCGAAAATATTATCGTTGCAGAACTATAGTCTGTTCCATATCAAGCTTGCAGTTGGAGTTTCTTCGGCAGATCGCTCCTCCGCTCAAGAATTTGCGTCTTAAAATGTAAGAGCTGTATATACAGAAATCACGCACTGCTTTCAGCAGGGCACTTCGACTGCAAACTTGAAACGGAACAGAGTATATGTATAAGCGAGCATATGCACCTCATGCTTCCATTGAGCCATCACAAGATGACAATATGACTGCATAAGACAGATGTAATCATTGGCTCAAACATGTGAGACACCTGTTTTACGTATTAGCTGTGTTTTCGGGCTACTCTGAGGCGTGTTTGTAATTCAGTGCGGGTAATCCGGGTGTCGGTTGTGGTTGCGGGATTAACCCTATCCGGCTAAGAAGCCATAACTGTCAGTCTCAGCGGTCATAACCACAGCCAGAAACACGCACGAGCAGCGCAGCAGGGTTGCAGCTTGTTGAAGAGATTATCATGTTAATATTCCGCACAGGAGCGTCATAGAAACTGCATCGCAGACTCGTTTCAAGATGCTACCGTTATGATCGACAAGGCCCCAGGGCGATATGAACTGCTGCTCTGAAACAAAACACTAATCGAATGCTATGATCCTATGTTTTCATACAATGTCTGGTTCTCATACTAGCAATGTATGCATGTTAGTATTGAATATACATTCTTTGCATACAGCAAACATATCGCTCACCGAGCATAAGGCACGATCATGTTCAGCTGGTGAATCGCCTGTAGAAGTGGTCCGCAGTCCATCGAGGCAGCCTTGGGAGGTCGCTGCTCGATGTCCACATTGAATCACATTTCCACGCTCCGGTGGTGTGATGTGCTTCTATCGTATACCGCAGGTGAGCATTCATAAATAACCGACCGCTAGCGCCGATAAACAGCTGTTAGTTCCGTCACTCAGGGATGCTCCAAGGTCCAAACGACCATCGAGTTTCGGTTCAACGGAGCGTCATCAGGAGCGCTGCGTTAGTTAGGTAAGCTGGGGTTCAAGGGCTCATCAAGTGCGTGGTTATGTGTGAGTGGTGACCACTGTGCTGCCAGATGGGCAAAGTAAGACGTGCGAGAGTGCATCGAAATAAATTAGGAGCGAGACGAAACGCACGGCGTTTATTGTACTGCAGGGGCAGAAATTGATGTTCGACCTGTTAATGTGTAAGGATGTCAGTGATTATTTCTGGGACTTATGATTAAATTTTCTCTATATTTTTATCACAGCTTTAAAAATAATAGCTTCGGATAGAAAATAAACACATTATGCAATGAAGCATACCTACATTTCAGAACGTCCTTAACGTATTCTTTTAAGCCCGACAGTATGATTTCTGCGTTTTTTTTTCGCGCAATATCTAACGTCAAGTTCGAGCTGAGTGGGCTGATAGCCAGCAGCTACAAGTCAACTAACGGGTCATCCTTCCCTTATAAGGAAAACTCATGGCGCTGTTAGCACAACATTCCCCCCACTGTGGACGACAGACCGGGAGCTGAGGTGGCATCCATCATAGCTATTGTTCTCTAAAAAGGCGTCGTTATCCACTTATGGCTCCCTATTCATAACAGGGGCGGGGTGTGCCGGGCTGATTTGATTAAAATGTCGTACGAGTGGCGCGGTAAAGAGTGCGTCTCAACCGGACATTTGACCTTCAGGTGACACGTCTTGGTAATAGCTCCTTAAAGTTAAGAATGCAGAAACTGACATTAGTTTGCCTGGGGTCATAGTTCATCCAGGGATGCGTGGTCAAAAGCTGTTTATTTAACCCAGTTTTTGCTCAACTGCTTTTATGATATGAAGCCATGAAAATGATTGCTGCTCTAAATCCTGTTTTTATTCACTTACCGCCAGTATACATAGTTTTCCACATAGAACAGCAAGCTATATGCCATCCTAGAACCTAGCTCCCTGACCCATAATCGTTTTTGGTTCACTTTACCCCACGCGGTGCTGCGCTCTCCCCACCCCTGCCAAATGAGACAAGTCTATTAGCGGACCGGTTGGCAGTTTTTTTCTCCGTCCACACATGGTAATTCTCTGCATGTGATTACCCGTGAGCCGGGCGCCGGAGGTGAACAGCCTCAGTGGAAGCTGAGGAAGGGGGATGGTGTGCTTCTCTCTGTCCGAACGACGCCTGGAAGGGCGGCGGGCACGGGGTCTCGGGTGCCATTGACATCCAACGGCGGTTGACTTGACGATTGCATGCGTCATTTGTGGTGGATGGTTCCTGTCGATAGACGCCGAGCTATTGATCCAGTGACGAATGTTGCAGGCGAAACAATACGCCAA